GCCACCATGCCAGCCTGAACATTTATAATAGGTGTTTAAAGTCTGTTAAATTGTATCATATTTATAAAATTTCTGAGTGTGCTTCTATTGACTGTATATTTTCCTGCCCCTTGGCATGCTTCAAGCTTGACATCCCCCTGAGCTGCTGAGGTTACAGGCATGTACCACTGCTACTGGATTTTGTGGTGCTAGTCTCCTAGCATCTTATGCTAGCATCTCTTGGATGCTAGCACGTCCTATCATCTCCTTTCAGAGATGTTTTCTAGGTTCTTCCTGTCCTATGCAAAGGATTGTTGAAGACAAGCACAATGGTAGCAAAGTTTAATTCAAGATAAGAAAAGAAATAGATTCTACAGAGTGAGCTTGAGCCGAGTGAAAGTAGGAAAGGAAGCACATCCTACAGCATGGAGGTGGTCCATCCGTGCCAGGGAAGTGGCAAAGACCCAATGTGGACTGTCCTTTATGTATTATCCATGCCTCAGGCTGACTTCAGGTATAGACCATCCTACTGAAAATCTGCTCAAATTCTCACAAAAGGTCCACATGCAGGGCTTTGGGAATTATTCTGCGCATGTGTCCTAGTATCTTGTAATTAACAGGGCATACCTACTTCCCCAGCCAACTTTGTCATGCCCTAATCTCCTGTCTCACCACCATTCCTGGCATCTCTTTTTATTGGGTGCTAAAATATACTGATTTAATGTTGTTAGATCCTGGATTTTGTTGCAGTCTTTTATAGAGTAGTAAACTTTGTTCTAGCAGGCTGTAAGGTTACTCACTGAGTAGTTTTTAGGGCTTTTGAAGGATCTACAATAGCTTTTACTCTGGGCCTCAGAGTTTAGGGCTAGTTTACTGCACTACTGGAACATGTCACTTACTGGTCTCTATTGTATTTTCCACATGGTCAAGTCTTTCATTGTGGTTGCTGGGAGCTCAAATCAGTTCTTGTCCTTTTGAGCTGTTAACTCACTGGCTTACTGCTCCCCAATAATTGTTCCTTCCTGGCCTGATTTTTATTTAGTTAAAGCTACAAAGATACTCCTAGGCAGATTTCCAAAACTCCAACGAGCTTGTCCTCCAAGTCCCTAAACTCCAATTCCTGTCTTCTCAGCTCAGGAGACCCTAGGACTCTGTTCCCTTTCCCTGCCCGGCACACTGACAACTGCCTGCAGGCACAAGACACAGGACTCTTCTTGCTTGTCCTTCTTCTCTGAAGTAAAACAGTCCAGAGCCACCTGTAGCCCAGGGCTGAAGAGCGGTTTCATACATTTTGTGTTTTGTTCAATTTGCCAACTGCTTAGCACAGGACACTTAGTCCAGATCCATTTCCTCTTCTTGCCTGGAAGAGGAATCCTTAGTCTCATAGGTAATGAAAACTGTTTAATATATACGATTTGCTACGTTGAAAAGCGGTTTCTCTTCTATGCTCCTATTTTTTTCCTTCTCAAGAAATGTTGATGGGCGAGCAGCGCATGGTGAAGCCCGCCTGCAATCCTGGTCCTCTGGGAGCTGAGGCAGGAGGACGGCAAGTTCGAGCCCAGCCTGGGCAATTTAGTGACTTAGTAAGACCTGGTTAAAATATAAAAAAGGGCTGAGGATGCAGTTCGGTGAGAAGGCCCTGGATTCAAACCCGAGGTGTACACACATACATACACACACAGAGAAAAGAAAACAAAAAAACAAAAACAAAAACAAAAAAGGAAAGGAAGAAGCGCTGAGGTGATGATTTACTCAGGCCGCGCCCCCTAGTGCCAAGGTTTTAAACTCAGACAGCGCCGCCTCACCTGGGCGTCGTCCACGCCCACTTCCCTCCCGCGCGCGCCCGCGCGCAGCTCTTTCTTCCCGCCTCCCCCGGCGGCGGTTGCGCCCGCGATCCGCGCGCGTCTGCCCATTGCGCCTGCGCGGCGTGCGGACGCCACACGCTCCGGAAGTGGGAGGTGTTTCCCGCAGTTTGTGTGGCGGCGCCCGCGGGAACGCCAGCCTGGTGGTTTAAGTACTACAGAGGAAAGCGAGGTTTTGAGCCTTGCTGGCGTGGGACTGAGCGCGTGTCCGGGCCCGGCGGCTGTCTTCTGGCGCGCGAGCCGGCATGGAGGAGGCACGGAGCAGGCAGCCGCGCGGCGAGGCCGGGGCGC